ACCCCTTTCAAATAAATAAATAAATAAATCTTTTTTAAAAAGAAAGAAAGAACAGACTCACTAAAAGACTGAGATCTAGGTGCCAGCACTGTGGCATAGCAGGTAAACCTGCAGTGATGGCATCTCATATGGACGCTGGTTTGAGTCCTGGCTTCTCTACTTCTGGTCCAGCTCTCTGCTGTGGCCTGGAAAATTAGTAGAAGATGGTCCAGGTCCTTGGGCCCTTGCACCCGCATGGGAGACTGGGAAGAAGCTCCTGGCTCCTGGCTTCTGATCAGCACAGCTCCTGCCATTGTAGCCATTTGGGGAGTGAACCAGTGAATGGAAGACCTCTCTCTCTCTGTCTCTCTCTCTCTCTGCCTCTCCTTTTCTCTGTGTAACTCTGACTTTCAAATAAATAAATTAATAAATCTTTTTAAAAAAGACTGAGATCTACCATTGGACATACATCTTACCAGCACATTATTTTTTTAACAAGTCAACATGTTTTATCAAGTAAAATTAACAAAGCATACTATAAGGTTAAAAACACTTTAAAAAGGCATCAGAATCTGACCCCTATATGGCAAGGAAGATGGGATTCTAAGACAAGCAATTTGAAATTATGATTAACATGCTAACAGCTCTAATGGACAAAGTAGAGAGCATGCAAAAATAGATACATAATGTAACAAAAGATAGAAATTCTAAGCGTCAAAAAGAAATTCTAGAGATTAAAAATGCCTTTGATGAGCTCATGAGGAAAGATCTCTAAGCTTGAGGATTTTTTTTAGAATTTTATAAAACTTAAAAACAGAGTTAAGATTGAAAAAATAGAAGGAATATGAAAGAACTTTGGGACAACTAGAAAAGTTTAAACACATGTGTAATGGGAAAGCCAAAAGGAGAGTAAAGAATGGAATGGAAGAAGTAATTAAAGGAAGAATGACTGAAAATTTTCTGAAATTATTTCTTATATCAAATCACAGGACCTGGAAATTCAAAAAATATCAATCTGGGTAAATGTCAAAATTTACACCTAATCGTATAATTTTCAAGCTACAGAAAATCAAAGATAAAGAGCAAATTTTGAGAGAAGCCAGATTAGGTAAAACATGTTATCTACAGAAGTACAGTGATAAAATTACATTGGATTTCTCTTCGGAAACCATGTGAGCACAAAGAAGTTTACAAGAAAAAATCACCAACCTAAAATTTGTAATCCTATGAAATTATTTTACTAAAGTGAAAAAGAAATACTGCAACAAAAACTGAGTGTATTTATCAACAGCCTTCAAAGAAATATTTTAAAAAGCTACAAAAACAATCAAATACCTTGGAATAAACTTAACCAAGGATGTTAAAGATCTCTACGATGAGAATTACAAAATCTTAAAGAAAGAAATAGAAGAGGATACCAAAAAATGGAAAAAAAAAATCTTCCATGCTCATGGATTGGAAGAATCAAAATCATCAAAATGTCCATTCTCCCAAAAGCAATTTATAGATTCAATGCAATTCCAATCAGGATACCAAAGATATTCTTCTCAGATCTAGAGAAATGATGCTGAAATTCATATGGAGGCAAAAGAGACCTCGAATAGCTAAAGCAATCTTGTACAACAAAAACAAAGCCGGAGGCATCTCAATACCAGATTTCAGGACATACTACAGGGAAGTTGTAATCAAAACAGCACGGTACTGGTACAGAAACAGATGGATAGACCAATGGAACAGAATTGAAACACCAGAAATCAACCCAAACATCTACAGCCAACTTATATTTGTCCAAGGATCTAAAACCAATTCCTGGAGCAAGAACAGTCTATTCAATAAATGGTGCTGGGAAACTGGATTTCCACGTGCAGAAGCATGAAGCAAGACTCCTACCTTACGCCTTACACAAAAATCCACTCAACGTGGATTAAAGACCTAAATCTATGACCTGACACCATCAAGTTATTAGAGAACATTGGAGAAACCCTTCAGGATATTGGCACAGGCAAACAGTTTCTGGAAAAGACCCTGGAGGCGCAGGCAGTCAAAGCCTAAATCAACTATTGGGATTGCATCAAATTGAGAAGTTTCTGTACTGCAAAAGAAACAGTCAGGAGAGTGAAGAGACAACCGACAGAATGGGAAAAAATATTTGCAAACTATGCAACAGATAAAGGGTTAATAACCAGAATCTACAAAGAGATCAAGAAACTCCACAAAAACAAAACCAACAACCCACTTAAGAGATGGGCCAAGGACCTCAATAGACATTTTTCAAAAGAGGAAATCCAAATGGCCAACAGGCACCTGAAAAAATGTTCAAGATCACTAGCAATCAGGGAAATGCAAATCAAAAGCACAATGAGGTTTCACCTCACCCCGCTGAGAATGGCTCACATACAGAAATCTACCAACAACAGATGCTGGCGAGGATGTGGGGAAAAAGGGACACTAACCCACTGCTGGTGGGAATGCAAACTGGTCAAGCCACTATGGAAGTCAGTCTGGAGATTCCTCAGAAACCTGAATAACCCTACCGTTCGACCCAGCCATCCCACTCCTTGGAATTTACCCAAAGGAAATGAAATTGGCAAACAAAAAAGCGGTCTGTACCCTAATGTTTATTGCAGCACAATTCACAATAGCCAAGACCTGGAACCAACCTAAATGCCCATCAACGGTAAACTGGATAAAGAAATTATGGGATAAGTACTCTTTAGAATACTATACCGCAGTCAAAAACAATGAAACATGGTCATTTGCAACAAGATGGAGGAATCTGGAACACATTATGCTGAGTGAACTAAGCCAGTCCCAAAGGGACAAATACCATATGTTCTCCCTGATCGGTGACAACTGACTGAACACCAAAAAGGAAACCTCCTGAAGTGAAATGGACACTATGAGAAACGGTGACTTGATCAGCATAGCCCTGACTGCTAATGGACAACTTAATACGTTGTCCCTCTTAGTAGATTTTTTTGTCTGTTCTACTTAATATGACTGGTTTAATTCTGTAATTAATACACAGTTATTCTTAAGTGTTGAAATTTAACTGAAATGTGATCCCTGTTAAACATAAGAGTGGGAATAAGAGAGGGAAGAGATGTATAATTTGGGACATGCTCAAGATGACTTGCCCCAAATGGTAGAGTTAGAAACATACCAGGGACTCCAATTCAATCCCATGAAGGTGGCATGTACCAATGCCATCTCACTAGTCCCAGTGATCAATTTCAGTTCACAATTGATCATAATGAAAGGACTGAGTCAAAGGGAGCACATAAACAAGTCTAGTACCTGCTAATACTAACCGATAGAATAAATAAAGGGGAGAGTGATCCAACATGGGAAGCGAGATACACAGCAGACTCATAGAACAGCAGATGTCCTAAGCAGCACTCTGGCCTCAGAATCAGCCCTAAAGCCATTCCGATCTGGCTGAAAAGCCCATGAGAGTATTTCAGGCATGGAAAGCCAAGACACTCTGGCAAAAAACAAACAAACAAACAAACAAACAAACAAAACCACCTAAATGAAAGATCTCTGTGAGTGAGATCCCAGTGGAAAGAACAGGTCTTCAAAGAAGGAGGTACCTTTCTCTGAATGGAGGAGAGAACCTCCACTTTGACTATGACCTTGTCTAAACAAGATAAGAGTCGGAGAACTCAAAAGGCTTCCATAGCCTTGGAAACTCATGACTGGAGCATAGGGAGATTACTGATGCATAAATAGGAGTGTCAGTTTGTCAAGTCAACAACAGGAGTCACTGTGCACTTACTCCTCATGTAGGATCTCTGTCCTTAATGTGCTGTATATTGAGATTTAATGCTATAACGAGTACTCAAACAGTATATTTCACTTTGTGTTTCTAGGGGGTTGCAAACTGTTGAAATCTTTACTTAATGTATACTAAACTGATCTTCTGTAAAAAAAAAAAAAAAGAAATTATCAATTCCCAACTTGACTCTCACTGGGATTAAACATGACAATAGGTCTGATCTGCTTTCATCATCATTTAAAAAATCATGTATTATTTTTCACTTTATGTTTCTGCGTGGGAGCTAACTGTTGAAATCTTTACTTAATGTATGCTAAACTGATCTTCTGTATATAAAGAGAATCGAAAATGAATCTTGATGTGAATGGAAGGCATGAGATGGAGTGTGAGAGGGGAGGGTTGCGGGTGGGAGGGACGTTATGGGGGGGAATCCATTGTAATGCATAAGCTGTACTTTGGAAATTTATATTCATTAAATAAAAGTTAAAAAAATAAGTTTTGTGAAAATGAAAATTATATGCTGGAAAATCAATTTTAAATAAAGAATGAAGAGAATTTGACAATGATAACATAAAGCAACAATTTTCTTATTAATTGATCTAAGAAATAATTATTCAGATGGATTCATTGGTAAATTCTACCAATGTAGCATGAAATAACTTCAGTTTTCTACAATCTCTTCCAGAAGATAGAAGCAGAGGGGATATGCCCTAATTAATTATTCAGGCCAATATTGCACTAATACCCAAACAAGAGAAAAATATTACAAGAAATGTAAAATACAAATGCTTCATGAATATAGATCAAAATATCCCCAACAAAGTATTAGCATGCTCAATTATTATATATTATATATTATTATATATTACATATTACAAATGATTATATATTACAATCTAGTGATATTTACCCCAAAGTATACAAGACTGGTTGAATGTTAAATTTAATTCACCACATACAAACAGGTTAAAGAAGAATCATATTATCACACCAGTCGATAAAGAAAAGGTATTTAACAAAACAAAATCCATCACCCATTCATGATAATTTTAAAATTCAATTCAATTCTATTCAATGTGTTCTGTAAAACTAATTATGGCTCCTGAATATAGTTATTCAGACCAACTCACATGTAAATAAGATAACAGAGCCCGGCACATCTAGGGACTCAATAAACACTGAAAAACTAGTGAATGATTACTCTCAAGAGAGATGTGATTCAGGGAAACATAGGCTTACTTACTCCATTTCCATGGCACTGTTGTCGACAAGTATATGATTGACTTTTAAGTGTTCTTGATTCTACACATAAACGATTTATACAAATCTAAAGAAAAATGTACGAAAAAGTCAAAAAAATTCAGCCAATATATATCAAAATCAATAATTGCATAGGATAAAATCAATCACTCAATGCTATAAATTTCTAGGTACCACTTTCACTGTGTTCCACTAATTTTGAGAAGTTGTATTTCATTTATTTCAAAATGCTTTAAAATTTCTGTTCAGTATTCTTCTCCACCAATGTGTTATTTCGAAGGATGTTATTTAATCTCCAAATATTTGAGGATTTTCCAGGTAACCCTAATGCAAACTATGAACTTTAGTTGATAAAGATGAGTCAGTGTAGATGCACCAAATTTATGACTATGGTGTAGGTTGTGGATTGTGGGGTTGGTTGTGTGGAATGTAGATGGCAAAAAGTACATGGAAACCCTTTGTAGCATATAGTCAATTTTGCTATAAACCTAAAACTAAAATAAAATAAATAATATTTAGAAGTTTTCAGGCAGGAACTAGGGAATATCAATGAAATAAGATTGGTCATGCCAAAAAGAAATTAATAATCAAAGAACAACTTTTTATTAGAATACAATGAAATGTAAAAAAACTATTCTTGAGCACATAGTTAAAAGAATGTATTGCATCCATTGGACATTAAAAAATTTGCACAGAAAATCAACTCAATATAATCATAGCACATATTGTTTTCATAAATTATGAGCTTTACTAGATCCCCCTAAGTATTTAATGTATATAATGGGATCTTTTATTAAAACATAATAAAGGAGGCATGTATTGTTTGTTTCAGTTGTTAAGTCACTCTTTGGAATACCATATTTCATGTGGAGTGCCTTGTTCAATCCCAGCTACTCCACTTCTGGTCCCCCTTGCTGCTACTGCTTATCCTAGGAGGCAGCAGATGATAGTTCAATTTTTTTTTTTTTGACAGGCAGAGTAGACAGTGAGAGAGAGAAAGGTCTTCCTTTGCCATTGGTTCACCCTCCAATGGCCGCCGCGGCCGGCACACTGCAGCCGGCACACTGTGCTGATCTGATGGCAGGAGCCAGGTCTCTCATGGGGTGCAGGGCCCAAGCACTTGGGCCATCCTCCACTGCACTCCCTGGCCACAGCAGAGAGCTGGCCTGGAAGAGGGGCAACTGGGACAGAATCCGGCGCCCCGACCGGGACTAGAACCTGGTGTGCCGGCACCACAAGGTGGAGGATTAGCCTAGTGAGCTGCGGCACCAGGCCCAGATGATAGTTCAAATATGTGGGTCCCTCCCACCCATGTTGGAGACCCACACAGAGTACCAGGCTCCTGGCTTTGGCCTGACTCAGCCCTGGCAGATGTATGCATTGGGGAGTAAACCAATAAATGGAGATCTCTCTCTCTCCTCTCTCTCTCTCTTTCCCTTTCCCTTTCCCCCTCTTTCCCTTTCCCTTTCCCTCTCTCTCTTCCTCTCCCTTCTTGAAATAAAATAAAACTAAACATCTTTAAACTTAATGAGATACTGATAACTTTATTACAAAATATACCATAAATGTATGCATATCCTTTTAAGTTTAAGGATAGAGTAAGCAGGGTGTTGTGGCACAATAGATTAAGCTGCCACCTGCATGTCTGCACCCTATATGGGCACCAATTAAAGTCCTGACTGTTCCACTTCCACTCCAGCTCGCTGCTAATGTTCCTGGAAAAGTAGTGGAGAATGTTCCAGATGTCTGAGCCCCTGCCACCCATGTGGGAGACCCAGATGGAGTTTGAGACTACTGGCTTCAGCCTGACCCAGCCTTGGCCATTGTGGCCATCTGGGGAGTAAACTAGTGGTGGAAGATCTCTCTCTCTCTAACTCTGATTTTCAAATAATATATACATAACTCTTTAAAAAAGAGTAAGCAGGGGGTAGACATTTTGCCTAGGGGTTAAAAAATGCCTGGGTTTGAGTCCCAGGCTCCACTCCTGATTCCACTTTCCAGTTCAGTCACACCTGGAAGGCTGCAGGAGATGCCAGACGAGCCCCTGCCACTCACATGGAAAACCTGAACCAAGTACTTGGCTTTTGTAACATGAACTAGTGGATGGGAGCTCTCTTACTCTCTCATTATGTCTTCCTATCTGTCTCCCTCCCTCCCAAACAAGCCTTTAATTGAAAAAATGAAGTGTACCAAATGGGAAAGTACTAGGGATAGATAAAGTGTGCCAATTGGGATGCAAAGTACTAGGGATATATCCCCAACTCTGTTACTTACAGCAGTCTCAGCTTTTCTAAATTACAGTTTTCCTACATGAGCAAAATGCATTTCTCTAAAAATAGAAAAAGTAAATGGCATTTCAGTTGTAAGTCAAAACGAGATGATGAATGTGAAAATGCCTCATTTTACACATTAATGCACAATACAACTCTTCAAAGAAATAGACCACAAAGCCTTTTAAAATCTGATCTTTTAAGATTTATTTATTTGAAAGGCAGAGTGATAGAATGAAAGAGAGTGAGAGCAAGAGAGAGCGAAAGAGAGAGAGAGAAGAATCTTCCATTTTCCAGTTCATTCCCCAAATGGCCATAGGAGCCATGGCTGGGCCAGGCCAAAGCCAGGAACCAAGAACTCCACCAAAATCTGTTACCTGGGTGGCAGGGACTTAAATTTTGGGCCATCGTCTGCTACTTTCCCATGTACATTAGCACGGAACTAGATTAGAAGCAGAGCAGCTGGGACTTGAAAAGTTTCTCCAATATAGGGAATAAACATCAAATACAGTGCTTAGCCCACTAACCCACAATACTGGCCACCAATATAATCCCTTTAAACCCTGAATCTAACTCTTTAACTCTTCTCTCACTGGAACTGGGAAATGAAGTGTGATTTTTTTAAAAAAAAAATATTTATTTGAAAGAATTAGAGAGAGGTAGAGACACAGAGAGAGAAATATGTCTTCTATCTGCTGGTTCCTCCCCAAATGGCTGCAATGGCCAGAGCTGAGCCAATCTGAATTTAGGAGCCAGGAGTCAGGAGCCTGGAGCTTCTTCTGGGTCTCCCATGTGAGTGCTGGGGCTCAAGGACTTAGCTCATCCTCTGCTACTTTCTCCGGTGCATTCGCAGGAACCTGGATCCAAAAAAGAGCCCACATGGGCTGCTGGCACTGCAGGCTGAGGCTTTAACCCTCTGTGCCACAGAGCCAGCCACAGTGAGGTGTACTTAAAAACTCCTCTTGGAATGTAGCATGTATTCTATGCCTAGCTTGATTGAAATTGAGATAAGGTGCCTACTACATGAGAACACTGACTTAGAAAACAAAGTGCTTCAACATACATAATTTATAGTATTATAAAAAGCTACTGATAAAATCTGTTTTCACACATTATCTCTCAGAATTGTTCATGATATAAAAAGTATTCTATTCTTATTAAATTACCCACTGAATAATCTCAAATATTTTATGGAAGTGTTGCATATTTTAGTTGTTTTGGCTTCATGAATATATTCATAAATATATCTACTGAGCTCCCTGGCCTAAACTTCCTTCAAGAAGACATTTGCAACTTCTATGCATGAAAAGGAAACCAGTATTAATGAGAGTATGTATTTTCCCTTGTAAACTTTATTTAAACTGGAAAATTATTAGAAGTTTACCCACTAAATAAAAGTTTAACCATATTAAATAATATGTTCAAGATAACTTAACAAGTAAGTGGAAGATTCAGAATTCAAATTTATGTGCATCTGTCTTTAAAACTTACAGTTTTTACTATGTTTCTACTATTTATACTATAATTATACATATGTTTCCTCGTGAACAAAGATGAGGTTTTGAGGTAAATTTATTTCTTCTATTTTTTTTCAGACTTCTGTTGGGCTCAGATATAAAAAATTATAGTGGTAAAAATCAATAATAATACCTGAATTTTATTTAGCTCTTACATTGGGCCATGGAGTAAATGTTATCATTATCCTCACTTTACATAGAGTTGAAGTTTCTCAGACTGGTTAAGTCACTTGCATAATGTCATCAGATAAGAGATGAGATTTAATTATAATCTGCTTGATATCAGGTGGGCCCTTATAAACTGAGTTATGGAGTGACATACTTTTATAATACTAGTAGGATTCCTACTTTGTCCTTTATCTGAGGAAAATCATGATTTCCCATGCTATGAAGTACTTAACCTCAATGTATTTCTAAGACTTCTCTCCAATCTCCAACCTTAAAGTAATTGGAGTTTCCTTGCTGTAAACACGGGAATTTTAAGACATACCATTATCCTCTTAGTATCTAGAAATTAAATATATTTATTTTGTCCTCCAAATACATACAACACTAGAAATGAATAAAATTTGATTCATAAATGAATATATTAAAGTAGTGAATAAAACTAGTGTCAAATAGATTTTAAATCATTTACCCTCCCTGTATCACATTCAGAGCCGTTTTTGACCTCCAGTAGATCTGGCGCTGAACCAGCCAATTTGTAGTCTATCGTCACACATATATTATCTCGTACGTAAGCATAAATCACAGCACCATTTGCTTGATAGAAAGGAGTTCGAGAAGGGTAGGTACAAATTAATCGTCCACATATAAGATTCCTGCAAACATAATAAATGTAAATAATTATTATGCATTAAACACTTAATTAGGAATGATTTGGATTTGCTTTATTTGCTTAAAAAAGAATCACTATTTATTTATGTCAATGCACTTAGGAGAAAATGTAATTTTTTTTGACAGGCAGAGTGGACAGTGAGAGAGAGACAGAGAGAAAGGTCTTCCTTTGCCGTTGGTTCACCCCCCAGTGGCCGCCGTGGCTGGTACACGGGGGCCGGTGCACCGCGCTGATCCAAAGCCAGGAGCCAGGTGCTTCTCCTGGTTTCCCTTGAGGGTGCAGGGCCCAAGGACTTGGGCCATCCTCCACTGTACTCCCGGACCACAGCAGAGAGCTGGACAGGAAGAGGAGTGACCAGGACAGAATCCGGCACCCCGACCGGGATGTAAATTTTTAACACTAACATTTAAAGTAAAAGGCAGAAATGTACAATTCCATTTATCTAAGCATTTTTCATTCAGTAATATAAACAGGTTTTTATTTTTTATAGGTTTAATTTTTTAGTTGTTAAAGTTCTTAATCAAAATATTAAGCTTTTTTACTGTGCTATGAATTTAAAATGTATTATTATTTTTTTTTTCTTTTTACAGGCAGAGTGGACAGTGAGAGAGAGAGACAGAGAGAAAGGTCTTCCTTTTGCCTTTGGTTCACCCTCCAATGCCCGCCGCGGCTGATCCGAAGCCAGGAGCCAGGTGTTTCTCCTGGTCTCCCACGCGGGTGCAGGGCCCAAGCACTTGGGCCATCCTCCACTGCACTCCCGGGCCATAGCAGAGAGCTGGACAGGAAGAGGGGCAACCGGGACAGAATCTGGCACCCCAACCGGGACTAGAACCCAGTGTGCCAGCGCCGCAGGCGGAGGATTAGCCTATTGAGCTGCAGCACCGGCTTAAAATGTATTATTTCTAAAACTGAAAAAAAAGGTAAAAGAGAGGGAGGGAAGAGTAGGATATCATCAGGTTCTTAGACTTGTATCTACAAATCATATTGAATCTGTTAAAAGTTCATTAAAATTAGGCCAGTGCTGTGGCATAGTAGGCTAAGCCTTTGCCTGTGGTGCCAGTATCCCATATCGGCACCAGTTCATGTCCTAGCAGCTCCTCTTCTGATCCAGCTCTCTGATTATGGCCTGGGAAAGCAGTGGAAGATGACCAAAGTGCTTGGGCCCCTGCACCCATGTGGGAGACCCAGAAGAAGCTCCCGGTCCCTGGTTTCGAATTAGTGCAGCCCTGGCTGTTGCTGGGGAGTGAACCAGCAGATGGAAGACCTTTCTCTCTGTCTCTCCTTCTCTCTGTCTGTAACTCTACCTCTCAGTGAAGCAATATTTATAAATATATTCCAAGTGTTATGACATCCATCCAATTTTCATACACTCTATATATTAACTTCCACAAATAAGGGAAGGCGTGATATTTGTATTTCTGGGTCTGGCTTATTTCACGTAGCATAATCATTACCAGTTCCTGCAATCTTTTATCTAATGTCAGGATTTCATTCTTTTTGTTTTTTTAAAGATTGATTTATTTATTTGAAAGGCAGAGTTACAGAGAAGTCGACAGAGAGAGAGAGAGAGAGAGAGAGAGAGAAATGTCAGTCCCCCATCCACTGGCTCACTCCCCAGATGGCTGCAATGAATGGCCGGAGCTGCACTGATCTGCCTCCAGGAGCCAGGAGTCTCCTCTGGGTCTCACACACAGGTGCAGAGGCCCAAGGACCTGGGCCATCCTCCATTGGTGGAGAATCCAGAGAGCTGGATCAGAATTGGAGCAGCCGCCGGGTCTGGAACTGGTGCCCATATGGAATGCCAGCACTACAGGCAGTGGTCCCACCCACTACACCATAGCACCAGCCCCAGGATTTCATTCATAATAGATTTCTATTCACTGTGCATATTATATATTTACTATCATATAATCAATGTACCCCATAATTTTATCTCTCACTATAGACGAATAAAAAATATGAGTAAATGTTACTCCTACCCTCAAAGACCTCTCATTCCAGTATTACATCTGACACAAATTCCATTAAAAATGCTACAGATGAACTACAATACTGATGAAGACTTAAGATGAGGACACATTCTAACGTAACAGTTATGGAAAACCTCACAGAATGTGAATTAAAATTATTAAATTTTCAACAGGAAGAGTGTGATACTGATAAACGAAAGTAGTAACAGGCAAATCAAGGAAGCACAGAACTACACTATACAAGTATGTATGTCAATCCTATAACTATGCTTTGTTAACTAGTTATTAGCCTGGTGTCTAGCACATAACTTGTTCTTAATAAATATTTTGTTAAGGTCATGGCCACAATATTAAAGAGGTAACTCTTTAGGTGCATGAGAAAGTGAACTTTATTTTATAGACACTAAGCAATCTTCATCTGGAACAAGCAACCAAGTGAGTGGAGATACAAGTTCCATAAGGAAAATTGGAAAGGAAATGTACAGCTCATTTGGGCATGCAGGGAACTAGTAAGCAAAGAGTAGCCGAGAGGCTGCCAGCAGCATCTGTGCCACAGGCCTGCAACAGATAAACCATACCTTCTTCCATGCCCATCCAACCTGACTGCAGGCTGTACACATCCATTCTCCGTCATGCAAATGAACCTCACTCCCCATGATGCAAAGATGCCATGATAACCATGTGTGTGCTACAGCCCATGATTCCTCCAAGATTCCCAATAAAGGGGGACACAGAAGCCAGCAGTACTGAAGCTCTATCAAAATTCAGTCCTATTTGAATATTCAACTAGAGCACCTCCCTCATCCTTTTAAAGGATGACCCCAACCTTGTAGAGAACAGCAGCTCTTCTTTTCTCTTTTTAAAGATTTATTTATTTATTTATTCAAAAGCCAGAGTTACAGAGAGAGAGGGAGGGGGGAGGGGGGCAGAGCGTGAGAAAGAGGTCTTCCATCTACTAGTTTACTCCCCAAATGGCCGCAACAGCCAAGGCTGATCCATGCCAAAGCCAAGAGACAAGAACTTCATCCAAGAGACAGTGTATTACTAGTAAATTTATTATTAATAATTTATATTATTTTATTATTAATAAATTATTTTATTTTATTAAAATAATTATTGATAAATAATATATTACAAAAGTAAGTGGGTATCAGGGGCCCAAGTACTTGGGCCATCTTCCACTGCTTTTTCTAGGCCATTAGCAGCAACCTGGATAGGAAGTGAAGTGGCTGAGACACAAACAAGGGTCCATATAGCATGCCAGCGTCGAGGTGATGACTTTACCCACTGCACCACAATGCTGGCCCTTTTCTTCCTCTTTGATAGAGGCTGTCCACACTCATGACTGAGTGTGTACCACTCTTTTAAATAAATCCTGCTTTCCTAAACCCCTTCATTAGTTCTTTCATAGGTAGAGGGAAGAGCCTGGAATACAGCCAGATGGTGGCCACAGCACAGCCAGTATTAAGGGGATTGCCCACAATACACACAGTATCATGAATTTCAATTCTGGATTGGATATAGGAGCCTAATGATCCTTCACATATAAATAATCTGAAATAAAATGAGATTTTATAGTCTGTAGCATTAGAAAGATGTCAGGGCTGGAGGTTTAGATTTGAGATTCACTCTCATGCACAGGTGTTTCTGCAGTACCACTGAAACGAGTGACATGCTTAACCTAGGGAGAGCAAAGCAAGAAAAGAAACACAGAACACAAGAAAAGTATTGATATTTGTATAACAAACCTCCATCCGCAGGGTGTATATTTGTTCCTGTCTTTACCGCAGTTCCCAAAACTATCTGTTTGAGACTGTATTTCTTCATAGCAGGCAAATGGAGCATTTTTGAACCTGTCAAAGTTAGAAATTGACTTGTATTTAAACATGTATCTGTTCTTCATTTTCACTCTTTATTCATATTTTGTATGTTACCTTTATAAAATTTTTATTAACAATCATAGTACATATTTATGGGTTGCACTGTGACATTTCAATACATTTATATAATGTATACTCCTCAAGTCAGGGTAATCATCCTTTCCCTTTCCTTGACATTTTATGATTGGAGTCTTGGAGTTCCTTTCTTTTATTTGCTCATAAAAGACAGAATAGGTTACTGTGAAGTGCCGTAACTTCAATCTACTGTGTAACACTAGTAACTTATTATTTTGCCCTAATTCTGACTTGGGATATGTTTCCTTTGTCTCTCTCCATTATTAAATAATGCAAATTGTTCATAGGAAGGTTGTAAGGAAGGAGAAAGAAGTAACATGAAAGGCAAAGTTCATGGTTATTGATCTTTTTTCATCACTTTCAGAGTCATTTACATCACAAAAATAATACAGGGGAGGAAAGAGTGATATAAACTAAGAGAGCACTCTGTAAAAGGAAATAGAAAGGAAAGAAAAAGTACGCAAAACTAAATTTGTTCTCCTAGATTTTTTTTAAAAGACTTATTCCATTTATTTGAAAGGCAGAGTTAGAGGGAGGGAGGGAGGGATAATCTTTCATATCCCGGTTCACTCCCCAAATGCCTGCAACAGCTGGCAATGGACCGGGCCAAAGCCAGGAGTCAGGAGTTTCATCAGGGTCTTCCACATGGGTGCAGAGGCACAAGCACTTGGGCCATCTTCAGCTGCCTTCCAAGGTGCATTAGCAGAGAGCTGGATTGAAAATGGAGCAGCCAGACCACAAACCAGTACCCACATGAGATGCCACATTTGCAGGCTGAGGTTTAACCCATGATGCCACATGCCAGCCCCTTTCTAGATTCTTAGTGAAAACTCATAAAAAGACATGTCTATAACAAAATTAATGAGATTTCTTCAATAAGACATTACTTATTTTTATTTTTTTAACTTTTATTTAATGAATATAAATTTCCAAAGTACAGCTTATGGATTACAATGGCTTCCCACCCACCATAACTTCCCTCCCACCCGCAACCCTCCCCTTTCCCGCTCCCTCCCCCCTTCCATTCACATCAAGATTCATTTTCAGTTCTCTTTATATACAGAAGATCAGTTTAGCGTACATTAAGTAAAGATTTCAACAGTTTGCACCCACATAGAAACACAAAGTGAAATATACTGTTTGAGTACTAGATATAGCATTAAATCTCAATGTACAGCACATTAAGGACAGAGATCCTACATGAGGAGTAAGTGCACAGTGACTCCTGTTGTTGACTTAACAAATTGACACTCTTGTTTATGGCCTCAGTAATCACCCTAGGCTCTTGTCATGAGTTTCCAAGGCTATGGAAGCCTTTTGAGTTCACCAGCTCTGATCATATTTAGACAAGGCCATGGTCAAAGTGGAAGTTCTCTCCTCCCTTCAGAGAAAGGTACCTCCTTCTTTGATGACCTGTTCTTTTCACTGGGATCTCACTTGTGAAGATCTTTCATTTAGGGTTTGTTTGTTTTTTTTTTTGTTGTTGTTGTTGTTTATTTTGCCAGAGTGTTTTGGCTTTCCATGTCTGTAATACTCTCATGGGATCTTCAGCCAGATCCGCGTGCCTTAAGGGCTGATTCTGAGGCCAGAGTGCTGTTTAGGACATCCGCCATTCTATGGGTCTGCTGTGTATCTTGCTTCCCATGTTGGATCGTTCTCTCCCTTTTTTATTCTATCAGCTAGTATTTGAAGACACTAGTCTTGTTTGTGTGATCCCTTTGGCTCTTAGTCCTATCATTATGATCAATTGTGAACTGAAATTGATCACTGGGACTAGTGAGATGGCATTGGTACATGCCACCTTGATGGGATTGAATTGGAATCACCTGGTATGTTTCTAACTTTACCGTTTGAGGTAAGTCAGCTTGAGCATGTCCCAAATTGCACATCTCTTCCCTCTCTTATTCCCACTCTTATATTTTACAGTGATCACTTTTCAGTTAAGTTTCAACACTTGAGAATAACTGTGTATTGATTACAGTATTCAACCAAAAGTATTAAGTAGAACAAACAAAAAAAATACTAAGAGGGATAACGTATTAAGTTGTTACTTAATGGTATCTTCAGGTAGTTTAAATTTAAGGGACAAACATTTACCTATTTTTCATTCATTACTATATTGGCTGTCTATTTTTTAAATTTTTATTGTTTTTATTATTCCTGGTAAAACAAAAGCAAAAAGAAACCTTTGACAACTTAAATTCAAATCCATTTCTTATGTCACAGTTTCTGTAGGGCAGAAGTCCAGCAAGGCTCAAGTGGCTTCTTTGCTCAGGGTGTCACTAGGATGAAATCCAGGTGTTGGCTGCAGTTGTCTTTCCATGTAAGATTGCAGTTTTGTTCAGAGCTCAGTAGATGTTGACAGAATTCAATACTGTGTAGTTGTAGGCTTGAGGCTCCCATTTTGCTGACAGATGTCTGCCAGGGATTGCTCTTGACTTTAGAATTTCCTGGTCACATGACCCTTTCAAAACTCAGCAAGCCTACTTCCTCCAAACCAGAGACCCATTCTAAGATTTCTGATTTCTGAACACCTCAAGTATATAAAGAGATGAAGATGCTAACTAACATCATTTGGTCTTCATATGTCAAATACTTGTGTTGGCTTATTACAGCAGGCCCCATAATTAAGGATAATTAAAATAAAATGTTTAAAATAGAGTTCACATGGTTAAAAGGGACACTCTGTATGAATTTCCTTCTGATTAACTCAAAGTTTATTGATTATGAGCCTAGATTACATCTTCAACATTGAACCATGAAGATATAGAAAGCAACAATGAAATTATGAACAAAAGAAAAACAGGTAATGAGATCAAATGAGTAACAAAAGGTATTCCAACAAAGAAAAGTCTAGGACTAGATAGCTTCACTTTTGAATTTACAAAACTTTAAAAGGGTTAACACCAATTCACCTTGAACTATTTCAAAAAATTTCAATGGAAGAAACTCCCAAATTTCGTCTACAAAGCCACAAAAGCTTGATTCCATGGCCAGAAATAGGCACAAAAAAAAAAAAAAGAAACCTACATACCAATCACCCTGATAAACATAGATGCAAAAATGCTCAACGAAATACAAGCAAATATAAGGTATCAGTGCATGAAAAGGATGATTCAACATTATCAACTGGGTTTTATCCCAAGGCTGAAGAGCACACTACTTCTACAATGAAGGCTACTCTAAAGGAGTGTTAATAAATCTTCAGTATAATCTTTGAAACAGTCAAGATAAGATACAAGTTAGAATGCCTGCCAAAGCTGGAAATTCTTGAAGACAATGAAGGAATCAACCAACCTTATGTACAGCATTCAGTCAATAATAAGGCAAGAAATTTTGAACCTTAACAATCCTTAACTAGAGAAGTCTGTCAACATAAATAGTTCAAAAATGTTACTATAATTTAATGAATAAAAGTTCTAAAGTATTTATTACACATATTTCAAGAATTTAAAGGAAAATAGGGAAATAAATAACAAATATAAATTATAAAAATGAGCCATAAAACTTATAGATCGAATAATTGTGCAAAGTGGAACTCATGGGATGAAATAAAAATCGATAAAATTTCATAGAATGGACATGACAAATTTTTAAGATAGCTAGGTAGATATTAGTCTATGCGAGTAACAGAGGCCAAAGAAAATGGGAAGAAAATAAATTTTTGTTCAATGGAACAAGGAAACAAGTCCTGAAAGCAGAACAGCATGTACACTTGAAGTAATTGCTCTTGTAATCTCCATACAACAGCCAGAGCTGGGCCAATCTGAAGCCAGGAGCCAGGAGCTTCCCCTGGGCCTCCCACATGGATGCAGGGACCGAAGGACTTGGGCCATCCTTCACTGCTTTCTTAGGCACTCTAGCAGGCAATTGGATTGGAAATGGAGCAGCCAGGACTCAAACAGGTGCCCATATGGGATGTCAGCACCACAGGTGGTGGCTTTATCCACTATGCCAAAACACCACAGCCCCCTTTTAAAAGATGTTTTTCTGTTAACTTAGAGGTGTTGAGGTTTGTTTTAGGATGTGAATTAAAGGAACCAGTAAGTAGGAAATAAAGTTGTGGAGGAAGCTATAAGCATTAGAATGTATTCTTGTGACAGAAGGTTCACAGAAAGAATTTTTTGGATAGAAAGAGGAACAAAAGGAATAAGTATGCTGTAGAAGGATTGTAAAAATTGAATGCTGTGTGAGATTAGGATAGATGAGATTAGAGGAAATTATTATAAAGTAGCTCTTCTGACTTAGAAGTCCAGAGAGCAGAACTCCTGACAGACCTCTTTCCCTCCTCTTCAGTGTAGCTTCACTCAGTCCTTCTGCTCTTGACAACAGGATGTGTCCCACAATGTATTTAACTGTCTTGAAGTCATGGGTTCATATGCTGATGTCGTTTATAATTAAGGTTTTTCCGTGCTACTGTAAATGACATAGATAATGAGACTTGTATGCATCTGAAAGGAAGGGGCATGTGTTTTCCTTCACTGTTTTGGAGCCTTGACTGTTGGAAGAACTAAATTTTAACAGAGTTAACATTATCTGCCACTTTTTACTGACAGAGTGATTACCATAACTTTGATTAGATCTTGTCTACAGCTTTATTTAAAATGTTCAGGGTAGGGGCCATGGCTCACTTGGTTAATCCTCCACCTGTGACCCCATATGGGTGCCGGGTTCTAGTCCCAGTTGCTCCTCTTCCAGCTCTCTGCTGTGGCCTGGGGGTGGGCAGTGGAGGATGGCTCAAGCGCTTGGGCCCCTGCACCCGTATGGGAGACCAGGAGGAAGCACCTGGCTCCTGGCTTCAGATCGGCATAGCTCCAGCCACAGCGGCCATTTGGGGAGTGAACCAGTGGAAGACCTTTCTCTCTCTCTCTCTCTCTCTCTCTCTCTCACTGCTAACTCTATTTGTCAAATAAAATAAAATAAAATGATCAGGGTTAAATGGATTATTATCTTTTCAGTGTTT